CGCACTGTCTGCATCGCCCCTCTGCTCTGGATTGTCCTTGTCAACCAGCACAGTGCATGCACGACTGTGATCGTCAGGATCGTCGCCATCATCGTCGTTGTGGTTGTTGAATGAATGGAGAGTGCTTGGTCTGTCTGTCTGGCCACTCCAGTTGCTGGTCAGTGGATCGCATCCAAGATGCCATCGCACCAAGTGCAATGTGGCCAGACACGCCTGCCAGCACTCGCTCCTCCTCACCAATCTCGGCTGGATCAGTGTCGTCGAGTGTGCTGCTCGTCGAGTGTGCTGCCACTGCCGAGTTTGGCATCCAAGTCGGCATGCCAATCCAGCTATCCAGCAAGCAGTTTCCTGCAGCCAACTCCCAAGGATCGATCCATTGAGCACGTCTCAGTGGCTGCTCATCTGCTGCTGCTGCATTCCATGTCGCAGTGAGAATGCACCAGGCAGCTCGGTCCTGCGATGCCAATGCTCTCGCTGTCCTCTTGAACAACAACCAGATCGCCCTGTTCACGGCCGTCTTGCCGACGTCTCTTGCTGTATGGAGCCATCAGACATGCACGCAGTCAGTGCCAAGACCACACAGACACGGCCGTCAGACTGCTGTGCCGTCGTCGTCGATGGGCAATGGAGCATGCCTGGACAGACAGCGAGTCAACGCACCTGCTTGCCTGTCTGCAGCCTGCCTTCTGTCCGCCCGGCTTGTTGGGCATGCCTCTCAGACGGCCACGACCACGCTTTTCTGGGACGGCCCGCTCGACGGCCTGCTGCATGGCATCTGGTACGGTCCGCCTCGTCGTCCCCCCGAAGGACTCGACCAAGGAGAGCTGGACCATATCCGTGCAGATGGGTGAAAGGGTGGCGCGCTGTCTGCTAGGCCGTGTTGAAGGTGTGGTGGAAGTGGTGGTGCTGTCGCCTGCGTCGTTGTCGTTGGGCTCGTTGTTGCTTGTGTGCAGTTGGGCGGCAAGTGCAGCAGCGTCTGGATCTGGCATGGCGCGTTGCTGCTGTGCTCGCATCGCGCAGTGTCAGCACTTCTCAAGGGCTCTCTAGATCGACCAATCACAGCGATTCCACCAGGAGTTGACCAATCACAGCGATTCCACCAGGATTGACCAATCAGGAATATTCCACCAGGGGTAATGGTATGAGAACCGGGCCGAATTTCTATACTCTTTGCTGCGTTGTTTGGTACCAACCCTTGAAGTGAAGGCATTGATAGGCGATCCCACTACGACGCTCGGAAGGCGACTGGCTCCTGATTCTCCCGTGTGGGCGGCATCTACACGCCATCAACGTCAACCTGCTCGACCCAGCCCATCCGTTTGGCGACGGTTCATGCTGCATCATGTGCGGCGAGGATCTCTGGGAAACACGCTGGGCATTGCATAGGTTGCGCTTGATTGCACAGAGGAGTGGAGTGTGGCTATTCGCACAGCGCATTGGCAGCTGCAAGCCGCTGCTGTTGGCGAGGCGTGTTATGCCAGCACCTGGAACACAACGTCGCGTCGCGACTTACACAATCTTCACAAAAATGGCGTCTGTTGTGTCAGACCATCTCGTGCTTCGTTTGCTGCCTGCGGGGCCAACACCAAACTGCGAGCATGTCGAGCGGGTGCTGTATGAGCGCGTGTCTCTCAAGCTCGGACGGCAGGTCAAGTCACCAATGGAAAAAGCTGCCGCTGCCGCTGCCGCCGCATCCGCATCCGCAACTACTACTACTACTACTGCTGCTACTGCGTTGACATTGGGCGGCAGACCGTCAACATCAAATGCCCAGCAGTCGCAACCGGCTTCTCCAGTCTCTCCCCTTGACCAGGCACGCGCCTTCTTCCTTGGTTCAGTTGCTGCCCAGCTAAAAGAACCCGCAACGTCTCCAACCTCGCCGACAACTGCCATTGGCGCCTCTCCAGCTGCAGCCTCGTCCACAGTTGCTGCAGGCTCTGATGACGCGACATCACCGCTGGCCAAGTCGCGTCCTGCTTTGCCTGAAAAACACGCCGAGCCCGTGTGGTTCAAAAGCAAGGTCGTCAGTCGCACACATGCAGAGATTTGGCTAAAGGACGGCCAGGTACAGCCATCTAGTCTATGCGACCAACTGTCGCCCCACCACTTACCGACAGTATCTGCTGCCCAATACCTTCGGTGCTGCTCGCTGCCTTTGTTCAGGTCTATCTCAAGGATATTGGCAGCTCTTCTGGCACGTTTCTCAACAAAATGCGGCTGAGTCCAGCAGGGAAACTCAGCAGACCGTACCCTATCCGCCAAGGGGATGTCATCCAGCTCGGTGTTGACTATCAAGGCAGAAGCGAAGGTATCCATCTGGTGCATCCCGTTTGTACTGGCATTGCTTGCTGACACTACTTTCTATTTGACTGACGCCGCCGACCGCCGCCATTCAAGACATTTACAAGGCCGTTGAAATGAAGGTTGAGATTGAGCATCCGCAGACCATGACCACGATCAACAAGCGGCACAAGGCATCGCTGAGATTCCGTGCTGCGCTTCGGGCACTGCTTACGGCGACCAACCCATATTCTACAAGCCATGCAAGCACCGCGGCCGTCGCGAGTGCGAGTGCTACTGCTCTTTCAAAAACAGCGTCGAGCACCGCTTTGGGATCCGCAGGCGGCGATGATTCGCACAAGCATCATGGCGGCTCGGTCGACTGCTGCATCTGCCTCTCGTCTATCGGCCCCTTCCAAGCGCTCTTTATCGCACCGTGCTCGCACTGCTTCCATTACAAATGCATTCGCCACGTGCTCAAGGAATCGCTCATGTTTCCGTGCCCCGTGTGCCGCCAAGTCGCCAATCTGGATGCAAGCGTCTCGATGGAGAGCCTGTTTGACATTGACGACAATGCCGTTCCGTACAGCAGCCTCGGCCGTCCCAAATCAGCCGCTGTGGACAATGACGATGATGATGATGAAGAGGACGATGGCGAGGATGACGACGAAAATGCCGAGGCAGATGTGGAGCTCGATGATGATGCCGAGGAGCAAGGCGATCAGAGAAGCAGTATGGATGCCCATACTGGTGATGCTGGCAGGAATGCAAGCAGCATAGATCGTAGCATGCTGTGCAGAGCAAACCAAAATCAAGGCGACCATCTCTCGCAGGATAACCCGCATTTGTCTGGCATGATGGATGTCGACCACCAAGACGATGCATCGGATGGCATGTCTGTGTCTCAAACGCAAAAGTAGACTTGACCAGCTGGCCATGGTATCCGTCACTTGCAGCCAATCACATTGAAGCTTCCTTTACGCAATGGCTTTTAAATTAATACAGTGCTATTCAACAGGACTGGGATGTTCAGCGAGTTCAGCAGACAAGAGAACGTGGCTTGAAACTGTCTGCAACTGGTGCTGTTCATAATGACAACAAACGAGCAGCCTCTCACGGATGGCTCCTGTAGCGTAGTGGTTTATCGCCTCGTACTTATATGAATCTCTGTTCATATGGAATGCGAAGGTCCCGAGTTCGATCCTCGGCAGGAGCATCCATTTTGCCATTTTTGCTCGATTATCGGATGGACCGGCTCAAGTGATCAGCGTCGACACTTTTGGGTCTCAGTTGTGGATCCCGCTAAAGGCCCGCTCGCTGCTCGCCTCAACGATCTCGTTGAAGCCAACGACCTGCTGGTGCATGAACAAGCAGGCTTCCGCCGCCGAGAGGAGTGCCCCGCGCAGATCTGTGCACTCATTGACATCATCCAGCGTCGCCGTGCGGTGGGCCTGCCCACCTATGCCGCCTTTGTTGACCTGCGCAAGGCGTTTGACACTGTGCCCTTCGAGGCCCTGCTCTGGAAGCTGGAACGGCTGCAGATCCCTCCGCGCATGCTTGCTTACCTGCGTGCTCTCTACACCAACCCCACAGCCCGTGCTCGCGCGGGCTCGTCGCTCTCAGAGTCCTTCCCGGTCGAGCGCGGCGTCCGCCAAGGCTGCCCTCTCAGCCCGATCCTGTTCAACCTCTTCATCAACGACATCCTCGACGGCGTCCCCGAGATCCACATCCCAGGCGTCGACCAGGCTGGCAACGGCCGAAACAAGAAGATCCGCGGCTTGCTCTTTGCAGACGACCTTGTCCTGCTGTGCGAGTCACCCGCTGCTCTCACCGCTGCCCTCACCTCGGTCGTCGACTGGGCCAAGAGATGGGAGATGTCCTTTGGCGTGTCCAAGTGCGCCATCCTCCGCTTTGCCTTTGATGATGATCGCCCTGATGACCCTCTTGACCCCGATGACCCTCCCGACCCCGATGCCCCTCGCCCTCGCCCTCCCCGTGCCCGTGGCCGTGGCCGTCCCCTCCCTGCCCATCCTGCCCCTCCAGCCCCGCTCTTCACCATTGACGGCATCCAGGTGCCGATCAAGCACGAGTACGTCTACCTCGGCGTCACCATCGACGACAAGCTCACGTTCAAGCCGTGGATCAACGCCAAGGCCAAGTCGCTCCGCAACGCGGTCGCCTCGCTGCATCCGGTCATCACCAACACCAAGCTGCCCATCCACGTCCGGCTGCGTGTCTTCAAGGCATCGGCCCTCGGCGTCGCCGGCTACGGCCTCGAGGCTGTCGGCTCCAAGCGCACGCTCCTCAACCCGCTGCAAACCATCATCAACAACGGCGTCCGTCTGATCTGCAAGGCTCCTCGCTCGGTTCCCGTCGCCCCGCTGCTCATCGAAACAAGCGTCTTCAGTGTCGATGCCCGCGCCGTCGATGCTCGTCTCCGTCTGTCCCGCAAGGCCCGCTCGCTCCGCACCCCGCTCGCCCTCCTCTCCCAGCACCACAACACCGAATTCACCGCCCGTCGCCATTACTGGACTCGTGTTTCTCGCCTCCTGTTCAACCGTCTCAACCTCTCCGCCTTTGCTCCTCCTGTTGCCCGTAACGACCCCCTCCCCACCTTCTCCATCCTCGACCGCACCAACCTCCGTATTGCCCGTACCAGCCTGCTCTCCCCCAAGTCCGATCTCGCCACCGCCTTCTTCGCCCGCCAGTTCACAGACATCAGCTTCGCCAACTCCCCTTGCTTCGGCTACGACCTTGCCGATGGCGTCCGCACTCTGCTGCTTGCCCGGATCGACGGCCTTGGACGCTCAAGTTCGCCCTCCGCCTCAACCTCCTCGCCGCCAACCACCCCTTCACCGACGGCTGCTGCATCCTCTGCAACCAGAGCCTGAACGGCACCCACGAGTGGGCTCACTTTGTCGTCAGCTGCACCGGCCTCGCCATCCAACGCGACGACGCCAACCTCGCCCCATTCATTGCCCAGATCTCGGAAGCCATCGAACACAAGCTCCCCGAATCCAACGATCCCGCCGCTCTCGCCGCGCTCGGCTATGACGACGATCTTCTGGCTACGTTTAGGACCATCCGAGTATCTACAAGAATCGACCAAGTGTACATAACGCTCCTCGGCGGAGGAGTTCTATCCGGTGTTGCGGACATCACAGAGTCTTGGCTCTGTGGTGACCAGCAACAAGTCAATGCACCTGGAGACGTGCGTCCACTCGCCTCGCGAATGTGCGCATTTCTTCAGGCTGCCCATGGTGTGTTCCAGCGTACTTTATGGATACATCACCATGGACGTGTCGGACCAGGGGGATGACATAACTGAGGGATCTACGCACGGCCTAAAGCTCGAAAGGGTATGGCATCTAGTGTCTTGGGGACTGGGAATCTTCTTGGAATGAACTTTGGCATCACCTAAAATCCCGCTAAAGGCTCGGCACCGTTTTTATTCCTTGAGCCGGCATTCGCACCCGCATCCAGTCGCACAGTCTGTTTGCGTTGCAAACCAGCTTCGCAAGTGGGCGGGGTGGCCGCCGTGTTTGCAATCAGGACAGACGAGAATCATGCCCTTGACAATCGTTCGGCAGAGCACACAGCGAATCCCAGGGACGCCAGCCCCGCATCCAAGACACGTGTGCGGTGGGTGGCGCTGGTGATGCTGGCGCACGCCTGGCTTGGTCTCTTGTCCGCACTTGTCGCACGCCAGACGCGTATCAGCCGATGCCTCGACGGCCAGAGCATTGAATGGCTGCACAAACTTGAGAAACTTGAACAGCTCATTGCGCTGCTCCAGCAATCCCCACGCAAACAGCATCTCTCCGTACTGCCAGAGGTAGCTGTTGTATACGTCTCTGCATGCTGGATCGAGCAGCTCGGCCTGCGGCGTAGCTTCTGTGTCCATGCCAAGACAGGCACCTCCACCAAACTCGTCCTCGTCGTCCGGTGCGCCGTATTCCCGGATCACGAGCACTGCTTGCCCTCCACCAGGCATGGCCATGCCGGCCCCATCAACATCGGCAATAGCTGCGACAGCAGCCGATGACGAATGTGTATCAGGTGCCATGCCTGAAGACCTTGAAAGTGCAGACATATGCCCAATACCGGCGCTCATCTTGTCGACCGGTGACATCACCATTGGAAGACTGCCAATCTGCTGGTGCTGCTGCTCGTAGGCTCCTCCACTGCTTGCTGCTTGAAACATACCAGACGGAAGAAAGAGGGATCCCAGCGACGGTCGTTTAGGTATCCCGCCTGCATCTGTGGACGCCGTCCGCACAAGTCGACTTCCCGCGTCTCGTCGCCTCGCAGGGATCCGCATGCTCTTTGCAACCATGCCGCCTGCACCAAAACTCTGCCCTGATATCACACCAGCCGTGCCAGATCGGACAAAACCATCGGAAACAAGCGATCCGCCCGAAAAGGAAGCCGAGACCGAGTCTGTTGCCCCAAACGATAGGGCCGAGGTGGCCGACACGCCAGAAAGCCACTGTGCGCCACGTGCAAATCCTCGGCCGAAATGCCCAGCATGGACAAAGTCACGCGTTGGGAGTGAAGCCGCTCCACCCGGTGCAAGCATGCTGCCTATGCCGTTGCTCAAACTGGGAGTCCCCAAATGACCTGCCTGTGTCGCCATGGAAGCAAGGTTGGGGCCCGAAAACGCTGAACGAGAGACGGCTGCATCTGTCTTTGTTCCTCGCATCCATCCGGTCAGACTGGCAGACGACTGGTTTTGGGAAAGGCTCTGCAGCACAGAGTGTTCCGGAGACGCCAGGCTGTTGTCGCCCAGTACGCTGGAATGGTACGTGTTCGCCTGGTCGGCAGACGCGCTTCCAGCTGCCAGATGAAGAGGTTGGCGACGGTGTTGAGACCAAAGATGATCCTGCAAGTTGTTCATGCCCATTTTCTAGCCACGGTGGTGTCAGCGTCATCGTCAATCAACACAGCCGTGCAACGGTGAGCGGACAACCCCACTGTCACCTTGTCAGATACCTGGATTGAAAAAACGCAAACCAACATTGCAAGCATCTGAACATTGCCAAGACGCTCAAGGTGGCGCATCCTGGCGAGGCCGGGCGGCACTACAGTCAGTATCACTGGTACGTCTTGTGTCATTTGAGCCAACGACAACGCGTCAAACAGCTTACTGTGAATGCACCATCCTCTGCCCAAACGGATGATGTTGCCAGCGCATGGGGACAAACCGCGGTGGTTGGAACAAAGGCTGATCAAAGTGTTCGTATCCTTCTTTTGTTGCCGCATTCATCGGCGCGTCTTGATCCAAAATCAACTCTGCCAGCTTCCACAGATGCGCATGGTCGGCGAAGCCCGCCGAAAGCGCGCACTGCGAGTTAAGGCGGCACACTTGGGCAGAGTTCTCCCCGCGGATTCTGCCAAACCACAGATTGGCATTGTCAGCACCAAGAAATCGGCAACGGCTCCCAAGATTCAGCGTGTTCAGCAAGCCAATAGATTTGCCAGATCAAACCTTACTTGTATGCACGTGCAAGCTCCATCGACATTGGCAAAAACATGGACATGTCTCTCATGTATACAACTGTGCCGTACTGGGACGCTGCCTGTCCAGGTTCCTCCGCAAAAGACTGGTGCCCGCTTATCTGCTGCAGGGCTGGTGTTGCTGTGACTGGCGTTGTCGAGCGTCGGATGGCAGGCGACCAAGGCTGCAACGGGAGGCTGCCCAACCCCTTTGCAGAAGCATGGCCACTATCCACTGACGATCCCCCAAACTCGCTTGCGTCCGACATGCTCATTCGAGCTACATCCATCTCAATATCGGACTGTGCATGTCGCCGAGTTCCAGAGTCCGAGACGGACCGTCCACGACCTGTCTTTAGAGGCCGAGGCGATCCTGGGTGCTGCTGGTTGCTTCGGCTCCGCTGCAAGCGTGCTTCGTCAGTTCCCTCGACAAACGTGATGCCAATGCCTTCGTTGTTACTTGAGCTGGCCTGAATGTGCCGCAAACTTGACCACTTTCCAGCAGAGCTGATCCATCTTGGATGCGTGATCGAAGTCAGAGACGGAGACATGCTGGCCAAAGACGGTGTGTGCTCCGTGGCCACAGCAGGCTGCCAAAACACATCTCGATTGCCATCATTCGCATCACTAATCGAATCCAGAGACTCTTGTGATTGGCGGCCTGAAAGTTGCAATGGCAAGATGACCGTCGTCGTTGATGTCGCCATGTCGCCGCTCGCC